CTTTACTATTAGCAACTATTATCCACAGCTATGCCAAGATCCCTTTTTTCGGTCATAGTATCCCTGCTCCGGCCCAGCACGCTAACCACCGGACCAAACCCAGCCCAAAGCTCTCAATCTTAAAGGAATGAGCAATTAGAAATAACTTAAAACATGTTGCTGAATCATCTTTTAGAGTTTTGTTTAGACATTGATCGTGGACAAGCTCAGTCGAGAAAGAAGGTCACTGATCGTGTCTTTTGTTTAAACTTTAGAAGCAGCTTTAGGAACTGATACTGACAAATCCAAGCACATTTCTCCTGGATGTTTATTTTCTTAACTCGATTATCGAGTTGACACCCAACATTTTCAAGACGTAACCTGTCATCAATTGTATCAAAAGTTACGCACGTGAATTGTAACTCCCCATCTCCGTTAACAGGAAGACTAAGATGGGTTTAAAGTAGTGTTGGAGGTTATAAATAACACAGGCCTGCGAATTTAAAATTCATAAAAATTGTTTTGGTTTTAATAAGCGATTTTTCATAATTCAGCTACGCAGAATTCGAAAACAATATTCTTTTTTTTTTCTATCACATAAGGATTTTTTACAAATCGGGAAGAAGAAAAACTCTTACTTAGATCTAATTATTATTTCGTTTACCACAATGAACATTTTTTATTATTATGTTTGTTAACAAAAATACAAACAAAGTGAAGAAAAGGGAAGAACATTGACGTCAAACGAATATGCATCCTCATTCATCCTGATTTTTTTTGTGAAATCTACGTCTTTTAGTATCCAAACTACCTGTTGTGGTCTTTCTTTTATGTATTGCGTCTGGAGCGTTTCGTTTCAACGACCAGCAGTAATCAGCCATCATGCTAATATCCCACCTTTCCTGATACCTCCTCTCCATTTCTCTGATGTCTTGATTAAACCTTTCCCTTTGTTCTTCGCTGATCGAGAATTTCAGGGAAATAGTCAATATGTGAGTGTAAGAAATGAACGTTCAATGTGATATTACAACCCAACTCTTTAAGTTTATCGATCATGTTATTGACAAAATTTAATTTGGGTCCTTGTTGTTTCCTGAAAATTTGTCAATAACATCTTTTAAGGCAATCCACGTTCTTTTTCGACTTTCCTCATTGCCCTTTCGAACTGTTCATCCGAAGTCAATTTTCTAATCTGAGGCCCAACAAAAAAAAAATCCCTTCTTTAAGTTTCGCTTCTGAAAGAGCTTGGAATTGCCCATAAAGATACGTGAAACAGTCTCCATCTTTGTCTGAGGCCTTTACAAACTGCTTCATTTCTTTTTGTCAACCAAACTTTCACCGTTCAATGTTTTTCGATCCTGGTATCAGGCTAACTCTGCGTGGCCATTGCTTCTTTATCCAGTACTGATATCGTGCTCTACTGCCCCATTCACACAAAAAACGTGGAAACTTTAGATAACGGGATTGTTGACCCAACAACATACAAAGAACTTTTAAGTCTCCACAAAGTAGCCAACCATATTTGACCATATTAAGAAGAAGTTCAATATTTTCGTACGTTTCCTTCAAGTGAACCGAATCAGTAATAAGAACAGATGCGTATATGTTACCATTGTGAAGGATAAAACCTTTTATACTTCCTGTGGAGGAATCAATGAACAATCGCCACTCACTTGTTTCATTGGTATTAATTCAGAAATATTGTTGCGATAAACCAGTGAACCTCCTTGCAAAAAGTACGGTATAAACTCTTTCTCACGATTTCTGTACCAGTAAAATGATATCCCCGTGTGAAAAGTTGTGGTTCACCAGACGTTTCAAGTTGAAAACAATCCTTATCATCATATTTATTAACATCAGATTCAGAATATGATGAAACCGTATCAAGAGTCTCCGGTGGAGTAGGTACAGGTACATCAGGTCCATGAGCAACAAGTCTTATAGAAGGTTCGGATAAAAAATTTCCTATATATTTCGAGTGTTGTAGGCTTGCACGTTACATGAGCAAAAATAGCAATCATCTCCGTGGTTTCTAGGCTCACGCCAGACCATCAGAATTCCATAAGGCATTTCCATTGTCTCAGCTCTTCAACACAAACGGTGCAAAAGTTGTGCGGAGTCCATGATTTGTCTTGGTCCCAAGTATAATTCCAAAATACGCATAATACGATTTTTTTTTGACGAATTGTATAATTTTTTGCCTTTGTTTCTTTACAACAAATTTACCAAAAATATAACAGAATATGTATGGGTCATTTACACAACCTCTTGTTGCCATAGCGACGAATAAACAATATTGAAAAGAAAAGAAAATTATGTCAAAGTGCACGCACAAACACATACTATCTAGAAATGACACGTCATGCGACCTGTTAACCGTTTATATACTAGCGGTATGTTTCTCGTGGGTTCTATAACAATCGATAAGATCTCATGTCGCGATTGGTCTAGAGAAATCTATTAGCCAGTGATTGCCAACATTTTAAACATAACAAAATGTGACCTGATTTCAATGAAAATGATTCACTTAAGTAAAAGTACATATGACGTTTTGTGAAAAAATCTGTACGCGATGGAGAAAAATTTATATCATTTTCGGATTCAGTGTACAGGAATTACTATATGCAACGAATTTGTTATTATATGTTTATTTCAATATCGACGTTGTTTAGATTAAGTTTATATTTAAAAATATGCATAGCTTATAGTGTTAGATATGTATTGTGAAACTACCGCCCATTCTCCAAAGTTGTAGAAGATTCTCGAGAGTAAGAATCAACAATATATGTATATATATGTAAACGCTTAAGTGTAGTTCAGTATTGTTACGTAAAACTGAAATTTCTAGAACGCCTCCACACGGCAACGCGCCAAAAAAAGAGAGTATCTATTATTAGTTCGCTATAATCAGTGTGCTAAACTCTTCGGAAGCTGTAACTATGATTGTTATAACGCTTATCAATCGGAAAACTTTTAGAAAGTTCGAACATTACAACTCATTTAACTTCAGTGGATTCTCATCGGACATTAGTATTTTCACGAAAACTTTACCTAATGTCACCAGTGGAAAAATCGACGTGTGATAAGTGAAGGAGGAAGCTAGCTAGCTTCCCATTAAGCGAATCGTACCTACATCAACTCGTAATCAACTCGCTCATCGTGAACCCTAGATAAGATATCAAGGAAGTTTCAGACTAGAAACAAGACTTTATATTGTTTGTAAGTTTGTGAAACTTTTATAAATCATTGTTTGTAACAACTATTTGTAATAATTGTTATTGTAAACTATACTGTTGTGTACATATTAAAACGTATTTGTAAAAAAGAAAACTGTGTATCAATCTTTTTGGCAAATATTACAAACTGGCTATATATCGGCATCCAAAGTACAATTTAACTACTAAATTTAAATCATAAGTTAACTCAATTTCAGACCATTTAAAATTCGAATACGTAACATAGAGAACATGTAAAAATTTCAAGACAATAAAACTATCGCAGGCCTGTGTATTCAGTGTATCACAACACACTAATTTGATAAAGTGCGTACACTCTTCCATATTATATAAAAACTACACATTTATATATATTTTTGTATTCATTCTTTCGTTTTCAGAATGCATGTTTGTGTGTGTGTGTAACGTAACTCCTCCTACAAAAAAAAAAGAATCGTCTCTGTCCCGAGGTTTGCACAAAGGTAAAATTTTCCCCCAACCCCTTGGGGAACCCGGGGATTTCCTGCAAAACCCTTCTAAACTGCTGGATTCATCAACTTCTATATGGTACCAAACGAATCGTCCTGGCCCTAAGGTTTGCACAAAGGTAAAATATTTCACCCAAACTCTTAGGGAACCTGGGTATTTCGCGAAAACACTTTTACAGGGATTCCACAAAAGCGGACCCCAAATTTGGCAATGACTTGCATTAGAGCACGTAACTAAGTAAGCCTAGTAATTCCGTTCGTAACTTTGTTAAATAAATTAAGTTTTTATTATAGCGGCAATGATCATTAAACTGAAAAAAGTGCAAAATAGTGATCAAGTTAAGCAGTACTTTTTGCTATCAACAAATCTTGTAAAGATTGAACAAATCAGCCGTCGCCGATCATGTATACCAAAATTACCACATAATCAAATTCACAGAAACAAAACTCATTGCAGAACCTAAATATTTTCGCCGAAGAAATATTAGAGAAGCTATTGAAATACACAAGAATACAGACAGACTCATAAACAATGATATGAGCTTTCAACTGAATCCATTATGGAAAAATTTTTTTCAACGGAATATGTATGAAGAAATCAGACCGAAAAAGCAACACTCGTAAGATGTCGCTGTACACACACACACACACACACACACACAGTACACCTTTGAAAATGACGTACGTGTTACTTCAAAACCAGTCGGGGTAATTATCTTATATTATTTTATAAATTTGTGTTTGGTCTTCGTTACGTAATTTGCGCTTATAAAGCTGTTAATCTTTATAACATTTGCAAAATATTGGTTCAAGCATTAAATTTGCATTATAGCAGCCCTGTAAATGTGGGCCATAGGCCCACGGGTTCGCTACTAAAATATAGAATCATGCCAACATTTCCACGTGCCCAATAATCATGTGTACATGATTTAAAGAAACATGCTCTACATGTTTCGGTGGACAACATGATCCACCATCTTCACGAGACAAAGAAGGACACACGAGGTTCGTTTATGTACTCGAGTAAATGTATGTGTACAATTAATATATTGCACAGTGGCACTGTTAACAAAATCGAATCCCAAGAATTCATTTCCGTGACACCTGGACCGAAATCTCTATTCAAACTTAACATGTTGCTTTAAATCATTTCTAAAGATTCTCTTAGGTTTAATTCGTTTTTAACTTTAACTGTTTATATACACTGTTACTATTATACTATTTGTTTTATTGGTCTCCTACATAGATTGTTTATACAATATAAGTTGCTGAATGCACAAAGTAAACGTACAAATTAAAGGTAGCGTGTGAGACTTACCTCTTCACAAGATCTTCTGCACGAACCTGTGACCTGGACACAACAGGTAGGGGCTGAATTAATAGAAATAAAACAATTAAATATTTATATGTTTTCTTTAGTACTTTTTAATGAAAAGACTTAAGTAAACCAAGTAGTTTGTTTCCGTTAGAATTTTATTTCAGAAGAACAAAAAACTACTTTATAATCCACAATACAGATTTCGACCATATTCAGGCTTAAAACCGGCAAGTTTTCCAGCATTAAGAATTATGTATATTATTTATTATATTTTGACTTTTAACATATAAAATACCAGATTGTAGCACAAACAAAACATGCTTAAGATCGAAATAAAACACAACAAATTGCAACACAAGCGAAACATACTTAAGACTAAAACTAAATATACACTAGATTGTACCACAAAAATAACATGCTTAAGATTGAAATAAAACATACTACAGATTGCGACACAAACGAGACACAGTTTCAAACAACGTCGCGCATATATTTGCTGTAAAGCGAAACGTTGAGTATCCAATTAAAGAAAAACAACAAGTTGGTGTTATAGGGTCGTTTATTTCTAATATATTAATTTTATTGTTGTTCTATACAATCCAGTATAATATATTTAATGTTGTTAAATATTCATAAACATACAGGTATAACAAAACAGCACATTGTTGCAACAAACTTATACGGTGAAACAAAGTCTCTGGTGAAGGAGTCGAAAGCTCACCAGAAATAAATATTTGAGTATGAGAAAAGCCACTTTCTTCAATTCATATTTTAAAGTAAAGCCTATTACTTGTAAATCCCATGACTACTGTTATATAGATTCTCATGGTTATTACCGTATAAATACCGTTGCAACACTTGCTATTGAACAGTTCCATGATGAAAAGTCTATACAGCTTTTGCGTAAAATCTATTGATATGAACCTAATGCTTGCTCGCAGTTGGGAGTTGTTATTATATCATATTAGTGGTCATATCATAGCAAGAAAAATCAATGCATGCAGGATTTCAGTTTATGTTCAATTAAGGTAATTTAAGAGCATGAGCAGATATAAATATGAAATACTAGAAATAAACGACCTTATAACATTAAGTTTAATTTTTTTTAATTAACGAAAAATGACAAATTTGGTGTAATAAGGTCGTTTATTTCTAGTATTTCATATGCATATCTGTTATGTATTTTACACACCAATATGTACTACAGAAATTAGATATGCATTTGATTAACGTAAGGAATGATCCTCTACCATAATAAAAATATAAAAGCAAAACACCATAAATACATTTCTGTACAATATTATTTTTAAGTATATACTTCAAAGCTTTAAACTTTTTTCACGGGTCTCTTAATGTTTTGTCTTGGTTTGTAATGGATCAGTAGACAAGAGTACTGTCATAAAAGATAGATTCAATTGTGTTTCCTTATTGTACATTCTATATACACACATATACATAAGTATGGTATAATGTCTTTGTTTGAAAACTAAAATGAAATGAAGGTTATATGTCCATATGCACTAGTGATATAAGTTAGGCAGGAAGAATAATATTTATGGTAATCAATTTATTACCAGTTACAAATCCTACGTAACAGCATAAGGGCTTGAAGTCCTAAAGAAATATATTTATATATATAATTTGTTTAAACATTCTGATCCACAAAGCTTTACAGCAGTCAGTGTTGTATCGTTACGTCTGGTCAGATGGCATGTAAAAATCCTCCGGTGAGTCAACTGTAAATTTACGAACTTACATCGCTAAAATCCGGGGACTGATTCCCAGTAGATGACGTAGTGCAGATAGACCATTGTGTAGCTTTTCACTAAGATAATGACAACGACATGTAAAACAGCACTGGATGTAGCAATGCACTAAGAAAACAACAACGACATGCAAAACAACACTGGATTTAACTTTGCACTAAGACAACAACAACGACATGTAAAACAACACTGGATGTAGCAATGCACTAAGAAAACAACAACGACATGTAAAACAACACTGAAATGTAGCAATGCACTAAGAAAACAACAACGACATGTAAAACAACACTTGATGTAGCAATGCACTAAGAAAACAACAACGACAAGTAAAAACAGCACTAGATGTAGCTTTTCATTGAGAAAACAACAACGACATGTAAAACAACACTGGATTTAACTTTGCACTAAGAAAACAACAACGACATGTAAAACAACACTGGATGTAGCAATACACTAAGAAAACAACAACGACATGTAAAACAACACTGGATGTAGCAATGCACTAAGAAAACAACAACGACATGTAAAACAACATAGTATGAAAGAAATGTCTCGCCAAACTAATAGTCGATTTCTTTTAATTTCATTTAGCTAACTGCAAACTTATCTCGATAATAACTCTGGCTGAAATTTCGAAAATAAACGAAATCGGATATGTCTGTTTGTTTTCCATTATCATTTCCATCTGTTATACAGATAATTAGATTTGTTCACACGTATCAACAATACCTTTCGACCAGAGCAAGTTACCTCCTTAGATCAAAAACTAAGAAAATAAATCAGGTACTGAGTGTAGCTAATTTAGTATACTGTTCTTACGTTCTTATTTATGAAGGCTAGAATGCTTTATTTCATCAGTTGGGTACCCTCACTGTTAGCGATTTTTCGGCCGTAATCCTAATAATATCGGAAGAGTGCCGGACAGCTTAGGAGATTTAGGTTCGTCTTAAATCAACATACTAAGATAACAATCCAAAATAATCTCTTTAATGAAAGTATAGTTATAAAATCAAATGTATTTAAAATTCTAATTATGTCAAGTAAAGCAACATTACACAACGTACTCACAGAAAAATGTTGTACTCCTAGACAAATACACATTTTCACACACAAACAGTCTCTAGTGCCAGTTTAATTCATTGCGAGTCAAGATATAACTTTGTTTAAAACCATTCAAAAATTAAAATTTCCCGCACTTATACTGTTAAAAAAAAAGAAAACGAATGAACTTTTAAATAATTTTAATTTAGAACTATATCATAAACGTAATATTTCATAGCATTTAACAGCTGTATTTGTAGCCCAAATAAATTAATGTATCTAAATACACGAACATCCTTTTGAAAACGTACGGAATATGTATTGTAACATACATTATACGGCAGATTAACAGGATACGGTGCATACGCACGATAATCATAAATTATAAATTTCTTGAATCTTTTACCCTTATTAAGTCCTATACACGTCTAGCAAGGGGATAGTATACTTTGTATCATGTTATTATACAATACCTCTCCTCCCTCTTCATACAATGATAATCAGAATAATTCTTGCTCATGCTAATCCCTCAACAACTGAGGAAGAGAAATAAAGACGCACGTGATTAGGAGAGAGGTGACTAAGAAATGTCACACAAACAGGCAGTCTAGGAAGAGTTATTTTTTTTAGAGCAGGGGGAGTACGAAAGACCGTCAAACGGACACAAGCAACAAGTTTAGTAACTGAGCCATTGATGTTATCAGTGTCAAGAGTAATCTATCATTTATAGCTGACACTCTTGTCGTTGCCGATATATGATTTGCTATGGTACTATGTATGATTAGCTTTGGTACTACAAAAAAACACGTACTCACAAGTGAGTAGCTTTCTCGATAACAAATATTCGTGTTAAAATGTTGCGATAAAACTTTTTTTAAAAAAATGATAAATAATCGTAATAAGAAAATGTGAATTCTGATAAGACTAATAACACAATTCGCATAACAAAAAATACAAAGTTCATATTTAGGGGGAGAAAGCTTTTGTTTGTTTCAGCACAAACCACACATTGGGCTGTCCACCGCGAGTAATCGAATCCCACAGTTTAGCGTTGTAAGCCCTTAAAATTACCCTCTGGCCCATCGGGAGACGAGGAGAAGTCAAGCATAAATTTACACCTTTAGCTAAGTTATTAATATTATGTACCACGTCTCTAAAACAACAATGCAATAGAGCTATCTATAAAATCAAATATATTAATATTTATATAGTGACTTATTATCACATTTTACAAAAATCTTTAGCTATTTTTAAAACTTTTTATCTTATCTTCTATCTAGTTTAAGGAAAACAAATTCGTTATAAATTACTTTGTATTTAGAACAAATTGAAACATTTATTATAAAACTGGTTTAATTATATCCACCTATTTTAAACAAAAACGCCTCCATATCATTCAATTCTAGATAATTATCCCTTTAGGCTCTTTCGGAACGTAATGCCTATCCAAGCTTATCCATAAGGCTGTTAATTATCTTATGATAAATAATATACTATGTTCATTGTGAATTTTATATCAATAGTAATGTAAAATTATCTAAACAATCAATATATCTGCATTTTAGATGAAAGAAAGATAAAATATTTGAGTACATAAAACGCTTTTCCTCTTAAAGTAAACCGTAGTTTATGCCTTTTTGTTTTTAATCACGGCTTCTAAGTTGTTAAAAATCGAAGCCTACAGCTCGGAAGCTACGCGTATTTACGAATGTGGATCACACATGGGGACGCATACGTACGTCCACCACCGTACCGTCTACCCGTAAATAAGCAGACTTGCTCGTTACGTATTGTGAGCCTTTACGTTGAGAACCGAGACTGGAAACGGTCACTTACCTAAGGCCGATACCCGAGATCCCAGGGCCGCCAGCAAGATCACGCCGATGACCGCTACCATTCCATCCATAAGGAACGAACATCAGACATATCTGCACATACACTGTACCAACAGGCTAAAATAACACTTCCCCATACTCGCAAAAGTTCGTCCTCGTTTCTAGTTTTCGAGACTCTCCGCGTGCCACCACAGAGACGTGCAATCCAGCAGCTGATTGGTTGACACCCTCACGCCCGCAGCGTCCCAAAGCAACCCTTCGCTATTCTACACTAGATAAATTCCCCCCGGCGCTGGCAAGCCACGTGCTCAGGAAGCCCAACACGGGAAGGTGGTATATTTGGTCAACAGAAGGAGTGTGCTGCATGACCAACAATACATAGAAGATCCTTCCAGTCAGTGGACATCGAAAATGTGAATCAACCAAATTGTCTTTAACCTTAAAATGACATTAAAGTTTGACACTGCTTTATCGTAAGACATAATATATCGTTGAATGTTTGAAAGAAATTAATGGTAGGACTAAGAATTTTGAAGAATAACAAGCAATTTTTGAAAGGTCATCTCATGTTCAGTTGTGTATTTTGAATACACTTTCAAAAGTGAGTATATAATTCAGTAATGCACATTGATTTCGAAAGAAGAATCATTTATAAGGTTTATAATATCTTAGGCTTAAGCTTTAGTTACTTAAATTGTCTCTCTTAAACCAAATTTGAAATTGATGAAGATGACCAGGTGATGACGAAATAATGTTGAGTAGATAAATATAGAGACAAATACAGCTTGTATGCAGATAAATATAGAGACAAACACAGCTTGTATGCAGATAAATATAGAGACAAACACAGCTTGTATGCAGATAAATAGCGAACAGATTTACTATTTGTTTCTCTTTAGTTTTTTTTATTTTTATTATTATTCGGTTTTTCTTTAAATGCGAACTATTATATTTTACTATTGTAATTTAGTGGTCACAAATTTTGCTTGGAACCTGCACAGCAAAATACGCTGTACAACAAACATTAAAAAACAAAAGAATATACGGTTCTGGATTCGACGTCTTTCTTACGAACCGAATGTTCCGAGTTATAAAATAAAATCAGCGTGTGTTTTTTATCTGTCACATCCGTAAATTCTTTGACAGTTGAAACCATTGTCTGAAGATCAAGTTACCGAGTCTATCACCACACGACCGTTCTATTCAAACAAAAAACACGTTTCTTTCTAGTAGTCTAGAGGGCGCTTACAGGATTAACAAATAGCGCCGTTACGGTGTCCAAAGCACGGACACACTTCGAGGGGCAACCATTTTCCCACCCGACAACTAGCCCTCATACAAATTCTATAGCCTGCCCTCCATAAAGATCGTTCTTATAAACCGTTCTTCTCAAATGAATGATTCCCTGCTGAGATAGGGGGCGCAACAGTTTATTATTCTCTCACTTACCAGCAGGTCGTAATTTCCAGTCTTTGAAATTAGAATGGGAAAAAAGGGTATGTATAAAGGAGAAAGAGGACACGTTTCGTGTTTGATTTTTATCTGTTTGATAGTTTTTCTAAAAAACTTCGTGAAATATTTGGTATTCTTATTTCCTATTAAAGATCACTCTTAAATAAAGATTTTAATACAGAAAAATCCGATGCGGGGATGCGTGGAAGGTTAACAGGCAAATAAAGCGAGTTTGCCCCCTTGAGAAGGTGCACCTTTCGAAAGTGATGGGGTTGTTGGGTTTTGTATTTTTCTTTTGAGTAAAATATAGCAGTACCTTGTTCTTCAAATATTTCACGAAGTAGAAAAGTACTTGTAATGTATAAATTTATGAAATAAAAAATACACATTAAGATTTTAAAAACTTTAAGTAAATAACAGTGCTAATAGTTATTTGAGGCCCGGCATGGCCAGGTGGTTAAGGCGCTCGACTCGCAATCTGAGG